TGCTGGATAGAGGTATGTAATTAAAAAATCCCATTATATATATGCTTTTTTTTCTGTTGGCATTACAGACCTTTTATATCTTTTGTCGTCTTAACAAGGCTGCTCCATCTCTGCCTATCTTGGGCTACTTCTTTCCACTTATATGCATGCAGCTCTATTACATCTTTGTTGATTCTATCTACCCATCTGCTTTTTGGCCTTCCATGTGGTCTTTTGCCTTCTATTGAGACATTCATTGTAATGTAGAGTCTTATAGAGGGATAGCTCAGAGCTACATGCCCTGCCCATCATAACCTCCATGCCTTCATATCATGGAATAGTGATTGACCATTTTTTGTAAAAACAGTTCTTTATTGGTCTTTCTTCTCCATGTGTTAGTACTCCAGATCACTTCAGTTATCGTGTGGAGGATTTTTTTCTCAAATCTTTCAATACTTTTTTCTATGGTGCTGGTTATTGTCCAGATCTCACAGCCACATATTATAACTGACTTTATCATAGCATTGTACACCCTTAATTTGAGATTTCATGAGAATTTGGGATTTTAATACTTTTGAAAGGGAGAAGAAAGCCCCGGTTGCGCTAGTTATAACCTGGTCTAATTCTGACTGTTGGTCATTCACTTAGGTAATAATGGAGCCGATGTATTTGAATTTTTCTACTCTCGGGAACAATTTCTCTTCTATGCAGATCCTGTAATTCGGGTGTAATTTTCTGCTTATTATCATATATTTTGTTTTGTCTTCATTTACATGTTCTGCCTTTCATATCAAAGTATTAGGGAGTTTCTCGATGTCCTCTCGATTACTTTTAAGGACAGCTATATCATCTGCTTATCTTTAATGATTCATTCATTATATTCATGATTCATAAGATTTTATGATTCATTCCGACGTGGACCCCTCCACTTTCATGTGATTTTGTTCGATAAGAATCTCACTGCTGTAAGCTTGTTCGAACTTTGAAGTTTTCATATACTTCCCCTTGTCTTAGGACTCGACATTTAGGGTCATTTTATTTCTAATAATTTATCAAAATATGAATATAAAACATTTCAAAATTTCAAACATAAACTAGAAAATAATTAAAAAATCAATACCTGTTGAAGACCTAATCCCTGTTCATGCATGTATCCCAGATTAAACATCGCTTGGGCATTATGCTGCTGATCAGACGCTAATCGATAATGCATTGCAGCCATTTCATAATCAACATTAGTTCCTAATCCATAATAATGGTAGTCTCCTAACTTCACCTGAGCAGGGGAATATCCTTGTAATGCTGCTCGGCCCCAATAAACAAGAGCACGAATATAGGTTTCATTTTCATCTCTCTGTGCTAAAGATACTTCACCTAAAAAATTAAGGACAAATAAAGTAAAGTCATTCCATTTTAATTAGATAACATTTTAAAAATATATTAATTTATACTACTTATTACAAATATTTTATAAATGTACATTATACCATTAAAAGATATTCTAAAATAAAAAGTTTTCACTCTTAATAATTTTCTTTTTTCTTGACTACATAGGGTAAATCACCAGCTATCGTCATCTCACCAGTTACTCCTTATTAGATTATAGAGAGAATTCTTATTATTTTCACAACCATTAAAATAATTTGAGATGGCATCTCAGGAGGTATTTCTCTGAGGTGTTTATGTTTCATTTACTAGCTAATACAACTCCTTTATCCTATCTCTCAAGGCATAGAAAATATTTTCCCCAAATATTGCAGTGTAATACCTCTTTTGTTTAGTTGAGTGGTTTTATCAGCAATGATTGCTAAAGCATTATTTAGGTAATTCTTCATCTATTTTCGAATTTTAAGGTACATATCTTCTTATTTCTGCTTCCATACAGACCCAATAGTTTTGGATTTTGTCAATTTAATTAACATAAATCTTCAACTGACCACAATTGATTCATAAATATTTGGTATTTGAATGTTGGCCTCCCATGATCATGTCAAGATTTTTGTGTGTCTAACTGAAACTAGCTCATTATTACAGTAAATCTAAAATAAAATAGTGTTTATTAATCACACATGACTAAGTTGCATATATTAGTGATATAATAGTCACTACCACAACTGATTATTGTTAGTGATTATTATTAAGGTCACTGTTTTTTAGTTTTTTGACCTTATTTTTATTAAGATACTTTCACATGATCTAATTTTTTGCAGTTAACATTTAAAAATATAGCAAAAAAACAACATGCATAAATTAAAGATAGCTCTACAACGTTACAAGATGAAATTTTCAAAGAGGCACCTGTTTTCTAATGCGGATATATTTCAAACATATAATATATGTAGTGCCAATGTATTAATTTATTTTTTCATAATTAGTAAACCAAAAATGTCATAATAATAAAGAACAAGAGTTACAGAAAATCTAAAGAGTTGACCAATACCACAGTTGGTCTACAGAAGAAAAACTGAAAGAAAAATGGATCTTTCATTGGTCATAATAGAGATGGCTCTAAAGTGGTATTTCCAAAAACAAAAAATAATTTAGTTATGAGTGTTAAGAAATTATCTATCATTAAAATTCAACAATTTAGACAAACTGTACAGTTTTTCATGGTTGATATAGAAATATATCCAATAAAACTACTAAACAAATATCAGCAACTAGCTCTCATGTGTTTGAAAAAGATATTCGTAGTTGGTTTCGTTCAGTTACAAGTATTTTGATGTCTTATCTCATCCTTCACAGATCATTTTAATAGAGATGAATCTGAGTTTCATTTTCAAACCCAAAGCTGCATTAAATCTCTTGTTGAAAAAGGCTTTAAAAACGTTAACAAAATAGATAATGAAGAAGCCAAATATGTGTACAAATTTTTAAAATATATTTTTTAAATTGATTTGGGTTCATCTCAATCAGTAAATTTTTAATAGCTTCAAAAGGTTACTGTGTATACATAGTAATTATAAAAATAATAAAAATTATTAAAACAAGGTCACTAAAAACTTCTTTATATAATAGAGATATTTGTTTTGTAACGTGACCATGACAAATATTTACTAGTGATCGACAGATACTGGTATATTTATTTTTCTTAATGGAAAACTAAATATATATATATTTTTTGGCAATGATATGTCAGTAACATTTGTGTATCCTGTAACAAGGGATTGAGTTTATTCTGAAAGTAGTAATTCTGAGTGAGTTAATTGAGATGGATGATCTATTTATTATTGTTTCACATAATTAATATAATAATACGTTAAAACAGTCTTTAGAATTTCAGTATCTGCCAAAATTTCTCTATCCATTGATCCCTAGAAGATCGATTGAGAAATTCTTTCAGAAATATAAATATTTTAAATGAAACCATATGAAAATTAATAGTAAGAAAAAAAAAATATCATATTTGGCAATAAGAACATTCCAAGTAAAACTTTACTAACCTTGAAAAATAAAGCCAAAAGGCTGAAATATTGGTCTTAGAATAATTCTATTGCCGTCAATACCTGTATAGTTTGATCCATAGATGATTGTTAGACACGTTGTTTGAAAGACGTGTACAAATGACTCTAAACGTAGAGTCCAAATACAAGTAGAAGTATCTGAAGCCTTCAAAGTTCGAACGGGCTTATGGCAAGAAGAAGGACTATAACCGATGTTGTTCAACTTACCACTGGAGAAGGTGATAAGAACAACATCACACGAAAATAGATGGGTCTACGTCGGAATGAATCGTAATATCCTTGGATATGCAAATGATATAACTGTCCTTAGAGGTAAATCAAGAGGACATTGAGAAACTCTCTAAGAATCTGATAAAAGAAGCAGAGCACATTGGCTTATAAGTAAATGAAGACAAAATAAAATATATGATGATAAGCCTAAATTCCACCTCAATAATAGGATCTGTGTAGAAGGAAAATTGTTTCCGAGAGTAGAAAAATTGAAATACCTCACCTCCAAAATAACCTCAATGAATGACCAATGGTCAGAAATAGACCAGTGTATAACAAGCACAAATAGAGCTTTCTTTTACTTTTCAAATGTATTTAAATATCGAAAAATCTCAAATTAAGGATGTACAATGCTATGATAAAGCCAGTTTTAATATAAGGCTGTGAGACCTAGACACTAACTAGCATCGTAGAAAAAAGTATTGAAAATTTTAAGAGAAAAATTCTCCGAATGATAACTGGAGCAATCTGAGATTAGAGTACTAATATATGGAGAAGAAAGACCAATAAAGAACTGCTTACAGAAACTGGTCTATCAATATCCCATGAATGAAGGTACGGAGGTTAAGATGGGCAGGGCATGTAGCTCTGAGCTATCCCTCTATAAGACTCTATATTACAATGAATGTCTCAATAGAAGGCAAAAGACCACATGGAAGGCCAAAAAGCAGATGTAGTAAAAGTAGATAGAATCAACAAAGATGTAATAGAGCTGCATGCATATAAGTGGAAAGAAGTAGCCCAAGATAGGCAGAGAAGAAGCCTTGTTAAGACGACAAAAGATATAAAAGGTCTGTAATGCCAACAGAAAAAAAAGCATATATATAATGGGATTTTTTAATTACATACCTCTATCCAGCATAAAGGCAGCATTACTTTGAGAGACTTCATATCCTAACTCAGCCAGTAAAGAATACAGCACAAATGCCTCATTGTAACGACCTTCCCTATAATGATTATGAGCTTCCATTAATTTTTCACCCCATCTTCCCCTTTCCGCAACATTTTTGTAAAGCTGTAAAAGGACAAAATATATATTCAAAAGAGTCACAATCGTCATTATTATTTTTGTATGTTTAATAACCATTGCCAACATAAATTTATAAAAAAGTGAAATAATTCAATATTTTAAATTTAAATAGTTTCTTATAAAAAACGATAGCTTCTTCCCAAGTCCTTCAGTGATTCTTCATTGCTAACTCATAAATTACCAAGGATATAAAAATTTTGGAATTTAAATATTACTTCCAGAAGCTGTTCAAATAATATACATTCACCATCACGAAGAGTGTAGATTCTTAAGCAATTGTACATGGACCCTTGGGAGTCATAAAAACAATTTTTACATTAACTTTAGATATTCAATCCATAGAGGAAGCCTCATGATGCTGGATTCTATTAGAGCCCAGTAAACTATATGATTTGTAATAACCTAATTAGTTATTAACACAAAATAAAATTCATAGGGATGAGATTGGGTCTGAAAAAAAAAAAAGTTGTTCAAGAAGGGGCCTTGACAAATAAAGTTTAAGAACCCCTGACTTAACAGTATCCTCAGTTAGATCATATATTAATAATAGGACAGTCTGTAAAAAACAACAACCAACTTCATTTGATGTCGTTCCTTCTTTGATTTCTATAATAATGCAAAATTTCACCTTTTTCTTCACTCTAAAGCTTATAATATCGGATTCCTTAAATATTATTTCTGTTACATACACACTATTCTGTTATATACACACTATATATATATATATAAAATCATAGAAGTAATCCTCTCCTAAAATTACCATATTGCTCATATCTCCCGTCTATCAATTTGCATCCTAAAACTGTTGAATCAATCCCGCCATCTCCAACCTAAACCCACACAAAGACTCTTAGTTTCCTTCCTGATCTTCCCCCATCTTTATTACGGCTGTGTGGTGTATGATGACCTCTCGGCTGATCTCGGAGAAAGACTAAGAAGAATTATGAATAGTTTCATAAAATTTGTGAATGGGACCCCGAGATGTTCCCATGTTCCCTCTCTATTATGCTGAGGTAGGGTAGCTCTTTCCCTCCTTCTAAAGATAATACTTTTAGGAAATGAAATATTAGCTAATAAATAGAATATACCAAAAAGATAATTTAATTAATTATTGAAGGAAGTTAGTCGACTGTTCTACATATCATGGGTGATAATTTAATTAGTCATAAAAGCAAACATTCTAAACTACCAAAGAAAAATAAATAAAATAATCTTTGTTAATAACTATTTTATATGGTCTGGACAATATTTAACATTTTAAAAACTGTAATGCACAAAAACAGAGACTTAATAAAAAAATATCATCATTTTTTTATGATATTCAAGTCTAAAAACAACAGAAATTATAATACTGATTTTTAAACTCATATAAAAAAGACAGAGCTACTACTAATTCTCTTTATTGCCACAGAAAAGGCTTTAGATACATGTCATATCTGTGCTAGTGCATAGATCACTAACTAGTAAACTTATAGTGACTAATCTTGAACTATAACAGCAAATTGGCACTAGCATCCCCTAGCTTTTATCTTTTATAAAGTTGGTCTTTATAAATGGTTCTTTTTAACCTGACTTTTCTAAGTTCTAAAAAAAACTTACCTCCACAGCAGTTGAACAGGATCTCATTATTCCAGTGCCAGTTGCATGCATTTGTGCTAAATTATAAAATGCTAATACATGTCCAGACTGAGATGCCAGAGTGAAGTATTTATTAGCTAATTTATAGTCTCTTCTAACACCTAAACCACCTGAAAAATAAGCATAAAAATGAAAAATTTATCAAATATAATTATCCATGGCATTAGAAATAATTAATGCTGATTAGTTTTCAGATGAAGTATGAATTAAGCACACATTAGAAGAAAAACATAAAAATTGGATATATATATATAAATAATCATGTTAGCTAACTCAACTAATTTCAATGGTGTTCTGGCCCATCAAGGACCTTGTCCTCCTAAATAATTTTCTTCCACACATACTGATCCTATTCAACACTTGAAGATTATCAGTGTTTGGAGGAGTTTCATAGAAAGTGAGGATGATATAATAGAAAGAAAAATTAATCTCCCAGGAGAAATAATCCAGATTAACTGGAATACTAACTGTGGCCCTCTTCTTCCTTAAACTGAAATCATTGTTTATTTTGGATCAGCAATAATTTCCTTCTTTGATTGAGCCATATATTTTATTGATAATTTTTTCTCTCTCAGATGATAAGCAACTTATCCCACTTTTTGTTTGGTCCACACCTCACTGGCATACATAATAACTAGGCTAAGGTCATCATACATAATATTATTTAGAGATATATCTTAATTTTCAAAATTCCATCTCATTATCATCTTCAGCATTATATTAAATACACATCCGACAGTAGGTCCATCTGTTCAACCCTTCTTAAGATGAAAAAAATCTCTAGACATCTCTCTCCGAATTGTATTAAACTTTTACTCTTCTATAAAGTTATCTCAGACAGTCTTGTGTGATTTGTGAAGCTAATTAGTATGCTTAGATTTTTATAACGCTTATTTGTGGCTAAATTATCATGATTCCTTATAATCTATGAAGAAGTAGGGCAGATTACTGATGATAAAGGTGTTTTCAATAGTAAATCTTCCAGAATAAAATCCATACTGCTAACTGACCACTACTTCAGAAGAAACCATTACTCTTTTCGATACTATAATATTATTACCCTAGGAGTAAGGGAAACCAATGTGACTGCCTCAATGTCATGAGACAGGCAGTCTTATCAACTGGGACTGAAGGTGTATGAAGCAATGAGGTAACCAGGATTGAGGATCAGTGAATATGACCAGACAATGATGTAGTCTATGCAGCAGTCCCACACAGTGACTGAAAATACCTGAAACTTTCAGTTTGTCACATTTTAACATACTGTTAACAGTTTGTATTAGTGACAAATTATCAGATTGATGCATCCCAACTCATTTCTGTATTTGAAGTACTGAGCTCATACTTAATATATATTATATTTTGATGATGACTCTACAGAAAAAAAATAGAAAAGAAAATACAAGAAGTATAGGCATAATGTCCTTTCTTTATCCTATACCTAAAAATGTGGACACCTAAACTAGTTCTGGTTAAACTAGAACAACTGGAATCAATTATATGGATAGAGAAAACATTATAAAGAAGATGAAAATAAACCTAATGAAGTATGGACTAAGGTTCCCAGAAAACCAGTATTTTTTGCCATAGAAAATAAAAGATTACCTTAATTTAAAGCTTTTGATATCTAAACATTTCAATTTTTTTTTTAAATAAAAAAATTAATGAATAAACATACTAAAATGCATAATGCCTAGTTGAAGTTGCCCATCAACCCAACCCTGCTCAGCAGCTTGTGAAAAATACTTCAGAGCTTTGCTGTAATCTCTTTCAACACCTCTTCCTTCTAAGTACATCAAGCCAAGTCCACTTTGTCCAACAGGATTACCCATATCTGCAGCCTTTTTGAAATATTTGTAAGCAGTGGCATTGTCAGCCTTAACCATTTCACTTCCTTCCAAATAAATCTAAATAAAAAACAAATGAATTTAAACATGCTAGCTTAAAATATAAATACATTATATACAAAAACCAGGGTTTACTATCAAATGATAGTTGATGCATAAGCATTATTTAATTTGGTTAAATAAACAAACTGAGGAAAAAAAATAAATTGTCTTTGTCTCAGAAAGAAAAATACATAACTCTGATAGTATTTTTCTTCTGATTTTAAACATGGTATCTATTTAAATATTTAGTATTTTCCCTTATAATGCAAGACAAGAATTTATAATTTCAAACATCTTAATCCGCCTAATTGTCCCCTGTAAATTCCTTTAAGCAATGATAAACTCTACTTTCGTTTCAAATAAATTCTGTCTAGTATACTATGGGACAATGTTTACTTAAATCAAATATTTTTGAAGTTATCTCTTCCTCTTCAACAAAAAACATGACTCGCTAAAAAAATCACAAATCTTGAATTTTCTACTTTTCTGTTGGGGATTGGGCTATTGTTTATATAAATTTTTTTATTTCTTGAGGTCTCCTATTACTTTTATAAAATTTTCCCTCTACTTACAGGATACCCTGTATATATACAGGTTGTTTTAGGATTAAGTGACCTAACTAAAAATATGAATTAAGGGCCTCAAAACAAGAAGAAAAATTCCTATGAAGGCATGTCCGCAAACGCTATGTTTAGGAGATATTCACACCTAAAGATTTACATTGTTATGAATTATTTACATTATATTAAGTAAATAAAATTTATTTATTTATTCTAATTACTTTATTAATTAAACACAAACATTAAATTCAATGTCGTTCAAAGTGATTTTCTTAAGCATTAAGACCGGCTCGGTGTTTTCCTTCAACAGCAGCAGTGCCAGAATGGCACTGGATATGAGTTATTGTTTCACAAGATTCAATTATCCTTCTTCGTAAGGAATTAAGGTCATTGACCAGACTTGCATAGACTTTTCGTTTAATGTCACCCCAAACAAAAAAGTCCAGTGGTGTCAGGTCTGGAGAGCGTGCAGGCCAAGCCACTGGCCATGCACGGCCAATCTATTGATTGGAATAATTAACATTTAGCCATTGTTATAGATCTCTTCCATAATGTGCAGGACAACCATCTAATTGAAGCCACATGTCACTTCTCAGTTGTAGCGGAATATGTTCAACTAAATCATAGTAATCATTATTAAGAAATTTCAGAAATGTGTCCGCATTGAGTCGAGACGGCAAGAAATGTGGACCTATTAAAATATTTAATATGAATTTTAATGTTTACATTTAATTCATAAAGTAGTTAGAACAAATAAATAGGTTTTATTTATTTCATATAACTTAAATAATTCATAACAATGAAAATCTTTAGCTGTGAATATCTCCTAAACAAAATGTTTGCGGACATGCCTTCAGAGGAAATATTTTTCTTGTTTTGAGGTCCTTATTTCATTTTTGCAGTTTGGCCACCTAACCCTGAAACAGCCTGTATATAATGTAATAAATAAATGTAAAAATATACAGAATTAAAATGGTACTTTTTCTTGTTTTATCATTTTTCCATCTAGCTAAATACAATATATATATATTTCATATAATATGAAAGTGTTTGAATCACAAAATAAATGTAAGTGCAATAATAAAATTTATAACTGTGCTATGTTTCAATATGAAACTTTTTTAGGAAAGAAAAAAAATGTTTATATACAAAGAAATATATAATGCGAATCCTATTGTTGGTATCCTTTTTTTAGAAATAATATAATTTATTTTTGATGATCACTTACAGTTTTTTTTATGTCTATTTTCATTTATTTTGTTTTTCAGAAATATGCAAATGGTCTGAATGCAAATTGAGATGACACATAATTAACTATAAAGGTTTAAATAGGATTTTTAAAGGTTTAATTAGAATGTATTAAATATTTTTGACTGATTTCCTGCTTATTATAAAAATATCCAAGTTTCCATCAAAGTACCTAATTGAAAAATATTTAAAACACAAAACTTAAATAAAATAAACAAATATTACCCTTCCTAGAAATGCCATAGCAATAGGATTTCCTGCATCAGCTGCTTGGAGAAAATAATGCAAAGCTTTTTGATGATCACGTACTACACCTCTTCCTCCTTGATAGTGGAGCTGGCCAAGCCCTACCTAAATTGAAAGTGAAAGCAAAATGTTTATTAACAGTAAGTTAATAACAATGACTTCATAATATAGGCAATTATTAACGATAAATATATTAGATGAGTTTTCAACGGAAATACACGTTTGAATCGTGTATGTGTTTACAGTCTATCTCAAAAACGAAAATTTGTAAAAAACTGAATTTTGTAATGAAGGTTTGTAAATGTTCAGATGTTATAGCAAATTGTTTGTCAAAATTGGCTAACCAGATGTGCGTCTTTATAAAATTGACTTTACACAATTTAACAATTTTCTCGAAAATGGCCATAATGATTTTGATTAAGCTCATTATATCAACGAAAAATCCAGTGGTCTTTAATATCAGGCAAGTATTATGTTCATTGAAATAGTCTGACAGTACTTAAATAAAGGCAGATTTTTCAAAATTACTTCTAAAGTGCTTTGAATTTTGTTTATTTTAAAAATTAACTATTTCATATAGTAATAACTAACAATAAAAAATGTTTAAATATAAACAGTGAAAGATATAATTACTTAAAGCAGAAATGAGGGATAGTAATGAGGGACTGAGAACTGCCGAATAGATTCGAACTTGTGCTTGAAGCAATAAGGTAGGTAACATGGGAACTGCTGAAGAAACCTGAGCACATCTTCATGTTTGGCAAAAGGTCAAGATAGTCTTCTAAATGTAACAAACATGTAATATGATATGCCATAATGAAGGAAGTGCAGGTTTCAATAATATTATATACATATATATTTTTTTTTTCAGTTGGCGCTACAGATCATGAAGATTTTTGGCCCAAATCCCCAGTCCCTCCAGAAATGACGTAGGGGAAACTCTTAAATAGCACGACAATTTAAATTTTCTCTGGACAAATTAATACAACATTAATAATGAATATCTAATGGAGGACTCAATAAGCTTGAAAATGGCCCTAGTGATGGTCGAAACGTCGTAATAAAATAGCTAATAAATAACATGTTGGTGAATAATGAGCAAGATTGTCTCTGCAGAAATGAGATTCCTACGGAAAATATTGGGAAAAACCAGGCGAGATTGAATAAGGAATGAAATGGTGCGAGATGAACTAGGAGTTAGATCCGTCCTAAAGACGATTGAAGAAAGGCAGTTGAAGTGGTACGGGCATGTTAATAGAAAAGATCTATTTTTACTCAAGTAAAGATATAAGTGAAAGTAGTGTAATGTATACCGCACACCAGATTTTTTGTATCATGATCCACAGAATTTTTGTTTCCAAACTCTTTTATCAGACCATTTCTCCTCTCACAATCCTCTTGCAGCCATTTCCTCTTATACATCTTCCATTTATGTCTACTTTCACCTCTTCTTCCAATATTTTGTGTTATGTAGGACAATTTTTTTCGGCCATCTGTCGTCCTCCATCTTCACTAAGTGGCTAAACCATTGAAGCCTTTTGGTTTCAATATTATGTAAAATATTTTTTTCCTGCCCTATGTTTCTTCTAATAGTGCTACTTCTATTTTGAGATGCCACTTCTTTTAAGAAATCTCTAACCTAAAGCTAGTTTTGGGCTTCTTGTTTTATTATGCAGGTTTTGACAAAATAAAGGATTGTTCCTAGTAGAAATGAGTGATAAATTAGTTTTTTTGCTTCAAAAGAAATATATTTATTACATAGGAATGAGGTTAAGCACCCTAATGATCTTTCTTCTTGTTGATATTTTAAATGAAATATTCTACTGGTATAACCAACCTATTTAACCAGAGCATGAAAGCTGAGATTCATTCTGTGACTTTCAATATCTTTTGATAATATAAATTTTTTGTTTCAAAATTCAATAATAGCTAACATCTCTTCTGCATCTTGCCAGCCAATTGTATCCATCATTTGAACTAATAATAATGGAGAGAAAAAATTGTATGTCTTAGAAGAAATTTTATTTTATTCTTTTAAAACTCTTAGACTATATACAATTAAAGTTAAATTATTGTTAAGGTAAATCTTTAAAGGTGTAGTGAAGAATTAAAAATGAAATTTATAACATAACTTCATTTTTTTTTTACATCATAACTTTATTTAGTACCTGGGACTGGACATCTCCTTTCTCAGCTAGCATTTGGTAATATTCTATTAAATCATTATCCAGTATTCCTGAGTTATAGCCTGGATTATCAACTTCATCAAGAAGTCTAACTCTTTGTATAACAGACCCACTAGACATCTGTACTTCATTGGCAACTAGAATTATTTCCCATTAGAAGTAAGTATAATCAATAAAATAAAAAAGTAATAAAAGTAAATAAACAATTAACTAAACTAAGAATATTATACCTGTGTTTGCAACTAATCGGTAATATTCAAGAGATTTCTCACAGTTTGATGAAACAGATACTCCAGACCAGTATCTGTAGCCAAGAGCCATTCTAGCCCATGTACTACCACCGAGAGCACCAATAGTGTAATGAACAAGAGCTCGAGCTTGACTAGCATTAACTGAGAGACCAACTGCATACAGATAGCCTAATCCCTAAAATTAATACAAAATAATTGAATGAGAATACTAATAGTATAGCTTCATTTAAAAAAAAAAATTAAAGCTTTCACAGAAGACTAATCATAGATCTAAGAAATTAATAACAAACTGGAGATTGAATTTCAGAACCAATTGAATTATACAAGATATTATATATTCTTAAACTCAGTTCAAGTTTTAATTAATATTTAAAAGTTTTCATTTTTTATCTTCGAAATCATTAATACTATAATTTTAATCTCTATTAATCTATTTTTTTTTTTTTTTTGCCATAAGCTATATAAAAGAGTCTCTGCAGGAATAAACGACTCTTCTGCAAATGATTAAAGAAACATTACAGATGTAACAGAACTCGAATGCGTATTTACAAACCCTATACGGATTTAGACACGCTGTCTGTACTCGTCTAGGATTTGTAGCGGCTCTGGGAGCTGGCCCATTACAAACCCTACACTGATTTAGACACCTCAGCTCTGCCTGCCCGCTGGGGAACTTTAGTCGTTTAAAATTATTATATATATTAATTATTATTATTGATTAATGTTAATATATATATAAACAAAATTATTAATTTTGTCCTAATTAATTTATTACTGACAAACAATACTGTTAAAAGGCAAGAGGAATAAGTGCTAAGTGTAAATAATTTTTAAAAATAAAAAGGGCTAAGATTATAATAAAATAAATTATTAATTATAAAAATAAATAAGAAAATAATAATGAGCACATTTTATTAAGAATATTGTATATTCTTCTTAGAAAAAAAATTATGGATGAATATAAACAAAAACATTAATTTTGTTTTAAATATTTGTTTTACTGGCATACAATACTGTCAAAAAATGAAGAGGAATAAGTACCAAGTATGAATAATTAAAAAAAAAAAAATAATTTGTATATTTTAAATAGCAATAATTATAAAAACACTATTTTTGTTTGTTAACATTTTAAAACAACACAGAATATGGATGTGATTCTAGACAGCATTTCACCAAAAATATTTATTTGATGTATATAAGTGATAATACAAACATTTTTTTAATTCAAGTAATTAAAAATCCTTTATAGTAAACTAGACACAATTTCGTTCAAATGCAAATAGTTTGTCTTTGTTAAAACCATTCAAAGGGAACTGCTAAGCGGCATACATATACATATATATACATTATTAATTTTAAACGACTTAAGTTTCTCAGCGGGCAGGCAGAACTAAGGTGTCTGAATCGGTATAAGGTTTGTAACGGCCAGCCCCCAAGGCCGCTACAAACCCTAGACGAGTATAGACAGGGTGTCTGAATCCGTATAGGGATTGTAAATACACAACCCAAACTGATCACTACAGAACAAACAGGCATCTTATTTATTTAACATAAACAAAATGTTTCTTCTGCAGATCCAGTATATTGTAAATTAACAAAATACAGTTTATATGTAGGTGAAACACACCTAGGAACTAAATCCTGGCAACAATCATAAGTTTTTTAAAATTTATAAACCCACAAAGTTCGTGAAATGGTTCAAAAGAACTATTTGACTCCTAAGGAATATGCTCAACGCTAATAAATTTAGCAGACTGAATTCTTACATTTACCAAAAAAATCAGTGTTTTAAATTTAATCATTATATTAGTCAATGCTGCTAATACAACTGATGAATTATATAAAAACATAACCACAATGAAACATGTATTACCATGTGGGCATCAGGCAAACCCTTATCAGCAAGTTCAGTGAAAATTGCTTTGGCGGAAACGATATCTTGTTTTAAATAAGTGCCCATCAGCATACCCCATGCAACTTTTAATTTAGCATCAACATGTCCATAATTGCTTGCTTCAACTAATAATGAATATGCTGCAGCCTTATTGCCTCTAGTTGAGTTAACCATTAACATTGCTTTGTTATAAAGTTCTATTCCTAGAGAAAAAAAATGAAAATTTATAAATATATTTTATGAGTTTTTCACATTACAAAGAAATAAAAAAATCATTTGATTTAATCAAAGTTAAGGTGATATGAAGGAGAAAATATTCTCCATAAATTTCTTGAGATTAACTTCACTGCAAATAATACATACCTCTTGGTGTTGGGCTGCAACATAAGCATTTAGCTTTTAGGGGAGAAATTAATAAATAACAACTGATACTTTTTTTTAACTAGAGAACTTATAAAATTATTTATTAATTATACATGACCAATTTTATGGCCAAGGTACACAATTATTTTGAAGGGAAGGTGCACTAATACGCACTTGAGTTACAAAATTAAATAGCTATTGTTAAAATCTACAAAATGAACTTATTCCTTCTTCCAAATATCTGTCTTTCATTAAAGTAAAAAAAAATCCACATTTAAACAACAGATATTCAAACAATCAATCTACCAAGAAAAAAATTTAAGGATCAGAAAAGGTTCAAATCTGATAGAGTAAGGTCTAGAAATAAATGATAAGTAGAGACCGGATTTCCATGTTATTGCACTTTTTATTCGCTTGCATGTAAAAACGACGGGCCCGAATATTTATCCGTTTCAGGACCTGTAGAATAACATATTTAAATTTTATATAGCACGTATTGCCGTTTTTGGCTTAAATTGCACGAATTCTATTTTTGTTGCACTAAATTGCACTTTTATGCTAAATTAGAAGATTTATAAATACAAATGTATAAGTGAGAGTGTTAATATTTATTTTACTATTTTCTTACTATTACTTTTTATTTTACTGCATTGTTCAAATTAAATTCATTATTCAAAATAGAAAAATATGAGGAAGGCAAATAATTCTGTGTGAAGCAAAAATCGTATTCATTAGAAAAGGAAGAAGTAAACACAAGTGAGATCTATTGTTGGAACAGAAATTTCCTTAAGTATTGGATAAGCTTTTCTAGAATTAGCTGCTTTGTTAGTAAGACATTTATAGTTATGGTTTTGGCTTGAATCCTCACTCACCGTTCAACCCTTCAGTATCTCTTCTGGCTTTAAATTGATTTGTAGAAATTTCATTATAAAAAAAAAAATGATAATGCTGAAAGAAAAATCTAGTCTCTCATCAAAAATTAAAATATGGATATAAAAATACCCTGATTTGAAATGTGAGGACAAAGAATTTGATGAGAAAGTTCTATATACCTAATGAAAAATTGACCAGGTGATAGGAAATCACTGTTAGACGCTCATTGTGGAACATGTAAGAAAAAAATATTCCCATCAAAGAATTAAATTTTTTGTTGTTGTTTTTTGAGGAGTTTGAGAATGTAATCCCCCACAAAATTTTTTTTTAGTGATATAGGAAAACATCTCCAACACTAATATTTGAACACTTGAAAATTTCAAATATTACAGTCTATTACAATTTTTTTTTTTTAAATTCTTTAAATTTTAACAAAAACGTTTTAGAATGTGTAATATTGGAAATTTCAACCCTATTAAAAAATAAAATTTTCAGTGTTATTTTTAATAATTAGAGTGCTACCAATGGGTAGTTTCTCAACATGTGTTTCATGTCATTATATCCATATGCGAATTTACCAGATGTATTTTTTGTATACAATTGTAAATATCATATAAATAAATTTTAAAAAAATTTTAATAAAAGTTAAATTCCGAAATTGGTCTGGTCTTTATAATATATCGGTACCTATAATTCTTGCTTTCAATTATTCCTTCAAACCTTCAATGTTCTGCATTATTTCATAATAATCATCATTATAATAGTTGATTATAATCTGGAATTTCACTTTCAATGTAACATTTCAATTTGTTTTTCTAAAATACTCTCTGTTAACTGAAGATCTGATAAGATTTCGATGCATTAATGTTATAAATTAAATAATATTGATGATTTAACACATTTTTAGGTGTTAATTACATAATTTTACATATTTTGGAATTTTACTACACGATTTTCCACATTTGGAGTTTTTTACTGCACATTTTCCAAATTTATACAGCACGAAAATCCGGTCTCTAATGATAAGTAACCATGGTAAGGAAATTGGTTGATAGGTGAAACACAGTGAAATAAACAGAACCTTTTTTTTTTGCATTTCACTATAACTGCACCCACCAACCAACTTCTGAATCATATTATCTACAGTTAACTAATTCCCCACCACGATAAATAATCATGAAGCGTATTCACTAAGTAATGAATGAAACTTAATAAAGGCATTGACTTGAAATCAATTTGCTGATTGGCAAACCATGAGCATTTTTCGTCAATCACTTTAATTAACTTTTATAGTTGTTCAGAGAGCATAATGGAATTAATGTTCTCATTGCTGGAAAGAAAGGTACATAAAATACCCCGTTTCAAAGGGAAGAAACTTTTTTTTCAACATGAACTATTTTTTTTTAATTGTGCGTTAAAACCATTTAAAATGTTCTTGGTAAAACATGCGAACTTCATGTTTTAGAGTAAAATAACTGAAAATAATAATTCTCTTTACTTTTCTCAAAAATTTTAAAATTAACAAATTTGATATATTTGTGGATAAACCTAAACTTTTCAATAACAAAACTTGAATTTGAAATTGAAAATAATTATATTATAACTTTAATTCTTAGTAACCTATTATAATTTTAATCTTCAATTACCTATTGTGAATTGTTTTAATATATTTCTGAAAATGTTATTGTTTCTTTTCATTTAAATCCTATATTTAAACACACTCCTAGAGCATATAATAATAGATTGGTATTAAGGTAATGACTCTTCCACCAGTTTTTTACTTTCAATTACCTATATATGCAATATATAGTAAGGGTAAGCATTGCGATCATGAAAATTTGCAAGTCTGAGTTTTCAATGGAAATACATGTTTTGAGGTCTCCTGAGTCCAAATAACTAAGTCCCACAAAATGGTCTGTGTGTGTATATGTCTGTTATCAGTCTATCTCAAAAATGAAAAGTGGTATGAAAATGAAATTGCATATTTAATGTTTTTATAAGGTTTCGATATTACAGCAACATTTTTTCAAAATCGGCAAATCGGAAGTGGTACTTTATCCAATCGATTTAACATATTTTTACAATTTTCTCAAAAACGGCCCAATCAATTTTGATTTAACTCAGTATATCAGTGTATTATTAAGAAGTTTTTAATATAACGTAGGTTTTATTCTCATTGATGTTCTCTACCAGAGCTTAAACAGCTAATTTTCAATATTGGCTTTCCCTAAAGTACTTTTATTTGAAATAATTAACCATTTTTTCCTGAACTCCATCCCTCCCATACTGCTGAAGTTAAAGAATTCCTCTCTTCATCGATTCCTCTCTCCTTGCCTCCTACAGCCGTCAACCCCTCTGAGGTCAAATTCCTTTTAAAGAACCTAAAACCTCGCAAATCTCCAGGACACGATCTCCTTACTTCCCAGATCCTTAGACAACTTCCTAAAAAAGCAATTATATTCCTTACATATCTATTCAACTGTATCCTCCGCACAACCCACTTTCCCCTGGTGTGGAAACACTCCATAATTATCCTCTTTCCTAAACCAAGTAAACCTGTTAATTATACATCATCCTATAGACCGATAAGCTTACTTCCGATCCTTTCCAAAATCTTTGAGAAAATCCTTCTCAAATGCATCCTACCCATACTCGAATCCCACAATATCCCTTCCCATCAGTTTGGATTCCGCTCAAGACACTCCACTGTCCAACAAGGCCTTCGCGTTGTGGACCACATATCCTCTGCACTTGAAAACAAGCAATATTGCACTGGTGCCTTTCTGGACGTAGCTCAAGCTTTCGACCGGGTGTGGCACGATGGCTTGCTTTTCAAGCTCAAAACCCATTTACCTCAACCCTTGTACCTAGTCCTCAAATCTTACCTTTCAAATCGCTCCTTTCAAGTCCGCTGCGGCACTGAACTCTCCAAACATTATCCAATTGAGGCTGGTGTTCCACAAGGCAGTGTCTTGGGCCCAGTTCTCTATATCCTTTTCACCGCTGACATCCCTTCAAGTCCTGATACCTTCCTAGCAACATTTGCTGATGATACTGCCATCCTATCCTCCCACTCGGATCCTCTAATAGCGTCCCAGAACCTACAAAGACACCTTTCCTTCATTGAGCAGTGGTGCAACAACTGGCGCATCAAAATTAATGAATCAAAATGCAAGTATGTCACTTTCACTCTTCGACGCAGATCCTGTCCGCCAATCCTTTTTAATTCAATTCCTCTTCCCTATTCAGACACAGTCCGATACCTTGGCTTCCTTCTGGACAAAAGACTGACTTGGAACCCACATACGAGACTTAAAAGACAAGAGCTTAACCGACGATTTGGTCAGCTATATAGAATACTAAACAGAAGATCTCATCTCTCAACAGAAAACAAATTATTAATCTACAAGACCATACTGAAACCTATCTGGACCTACGGACTTGAACTGTGGGGGACAACTAAATCATCGAATATCAAACGCATCCAATCCTTCCAGTCCAAAGTCCTTCGAACAATAGTCAATGCTCCATATTATGTCACGAACAAGACCCTACACCATGACCTTAACATCCCATATGTCCATGACATCATCCCATCCAGATTCTCCAACTTTCACCAGAACCTCATTCATCATCCCAATCCTCTAGCGCAATCCCTATCCAGCTCCGAGCATCCATACCATCCTCCTCGAAGGTTGAAACGGCAGTGGCCTCGAGATCTTTTGTAAATATGCCTTTGGAGTCCTGGCAATGGCCAGCTTCTCCACTCATGTCCTGAGCGTCTGTGGCTGTAGTGCCCTCTTTCAGTCTCCACTGGCTTCTAATACTAGTGATGCGACTGGAAAAGTGGCACTGGGATCTTCCGGAGTCTTGCTTTGCCTTCCGCGTGTGGAGGTAAAAGCCTGGCTCGGAGATTCTTGGGCAAATGTATATATTGTATATAGTTATGATTGTGTTTAGAAGTTTT